AAAAAAAAACACTATGTCAAAGGAAAGCTAAAACTTGAAGTTGCAAGCAATTTCTGAACAAACCTGTTGCTTTTCTTCCATTAGTATTCAGAATCCAACAGTTCGATGTTTTCCAAAGTCAGCAAATTGTTGCTGAATAATTACTGGTTTTCTTATTTTTTATGCTTGAAAAATTTTCTTTTTCACCATATTTTCATAATTATTTGCAGAGCGTTATTTTTTTTTTGCTTTTCTTTCTCTTTTTTTTTTGACAGATTAAAACGAAAGCCAACGGTGACAAATAATTGAAAAAAACCAAAAACCTTTAGCCCACTTTTTTCTGATATCTTTAAAAACCATCTTTACTATATAAGGAGAAAAAAGAAAGAAACGGTTTTATCAGTGTTGCTGATATTTTGCTCATTGTTCTAAAAAAATAAGGCAATAATGGGAAGAAAAAACAAGCTTTTTTTTTCCTAATTAAACTTGTTAAATGTTATAGTTTTTTCTTCTTTTTTGATAGAGCTCTTTTCTTTTCTTTTTGTACACTTATTTATTCAATATGTTTTTAAAACAAAATTGCTTTAAATTGTTTATCAGACTAAAAACTGTGTGAAATTTATTGGGCAAAAAATACTACTAAGAATAATTGGATCAACTATAGGTATAAGTAATTTGTTATTTGGAAGAACAGCAATAGTGCAAGTTTTGTTCGCTTAATTAAATAATCGTATCAGTAAAAGATTGAAAAGAAAGACAAAAACAAAAACTTATAGATTGATTTGGTTTGAAAAATTGAAAAAAGAAGGTATACAAGCTAAATTTTTAGAGTCTTAAAAAGAAAAATTAGAGACTAAAGTGAATAATAACAAACGTAGCGGTAGTAACAGAAATGTATTTTACTGGTATTATCAGTTGTTTAGTGTCACTAAAACTGTTGAATGACTCTCTTTTCAGACTAAATCTTATACCCTTAGATTAAACCTTTAGACCTGTACTTAAGCTGAGCAAAAAAAAACATGAAGAAAAAAAGATGGTCAAATGGAAATATAGCCTTGTTTCTTGTTGTTTGCTGTAAAATGTGACACTTTGATAAAGGTTGAATGACCATCAGCAACACCAACAGGAAACCTTTATATGCCTCTCCTCACCCTTTGAATCACCTTCTAAGAGGAAAAAAAAAGTCAAAGATAAAAACTTGTTTATTTCGCTATTATTATACAATGAACAACGAACAAACAACAATAAACAGTACAGCAGCAGCGATTGATGAAGACGAATTATCGATGACTTATCCGCTGTTATTCAACCGATAAAA